AGGTCTCAGGTGAATTGTCTATTATATTATTTTAATACAATAATTATATTGCTAAAAAAACTTAAGTTTTAGCAAAGAAGTTGTTTTTAAAAATCGACGGAATCTTTGTAAACATAAAAACAATCTAATAACATGTCATAAAAATTAAAATAAGAAACTACTAAACTGATTAAAATCAATTATATTAAAGAGAATAGGAAATTAAAAGATGTATGTTTATATATCTATGATCAAGCTAATTAATCCTTCTTATTAATTACGTCAAAATTCCTTAGTAGCGGCACAGGCTTTTAATGCAGATGAGTCTGTTACATTAGGCCCAATACTAATTACAACATAATATTCGGAAGAGTTATATGGCAACTCAGGGATTGGAGTTTTAAAGCTTATTAAATCATCTTTGGTTATACATTGAGCATCAGTACCGTTTTTGAATATGAGAGTGTCATTTAGATCTTTAATTTCAAAATTGAATTGATCTCCCTTAGTAATATTAAAATTGTTTACTGGCACATAAATACTAGCATTCACAAATGACGATAAAGGAATAGGAAGAATTATTGCATCCTCAATAAAAATTATATTAGATGTTATGTTACAACATGGAAAAATAGAATATTTCGCTTATATAGTCGATATTTAATAGTATTGATCGTGGAGAGTGCAGCAAATGCAGCAAAAATAGCAAATAATAAAACAGAATACCGGATCATGATTATTATAAGTTATCAAAAAAAGTATCGATTTATAAGAAATTTTAAGTGTAATTAATAGATTTTGTTTGCTTTTTGATTCTAGAGTAAAACAATCGTTGTCTTTTTATAAAAAAAATCCAACTTACTCTTTGTTCATACAATTTATTATTTGAAATTTATTATGAACCACCTGAGGCATTTGGTCTTTAAGAAAAGTGATCGTTATTTCATTTAACATTAAGAAACCATCGCCATAAGGTCATACAAACTTATTTTATTGGTTTCCATATTACGACCGGGTCATCAAAGTGGGAATACAAAATTTTAATTTTTTTTTTACAGCTGTTTTCATAAATTCTGGAACGTCTGGCAAAAAATTGACCGACCGAATATTTGCCGATTTGATAAGTTGGTGATTTCGGTAATGATCGCTGCCGAATCAGAACTTATCGAATCGGTAACCCAATAAAAAAAAATTGTATAGAAATTATACTGAAAATATATTGCTTATACTGAAAATATATAGACTTTGTACCAA